GATTATTTTGCAAATTGATTAATCTGTTGGTTATTTTTCGATAAATAATCAAGATAGCCAAAGGTTCCTTAAAGAAGACTTTCTACAGAAGTAAAAAAACAAGTGTTTTAAGACGCTTCGCTTCCCATCCAGAAAGCTTTTTCAAAATGTCTGGAATAGCATTCAGTTTGAGGCTTTATATAGTGGACCAAATACAAAGCATTGTTTTTGTTTAGGAAACATGCAAACTGAAACAAACAAACGGGTCCACCCCTTTGAAATGGGGGTTGTTTGGTTTCTTTTGTTAACCTGTAATGCCCCATACCTGTCTATGTCTCTGAAAGGGGGGTCGTTAAAGGGAATTGTTGGTCTGGCTGAACAGGCGAGGTCATCTGTTCCCCTGTAAAGGGGTGGGGGCTGCAATGATAGCAGGAAGGAATCAACTCTATCACTGCATTGTAGATTTCTGAAAGATGAAACCTGAGTCCACCCTCTCTGTTAATGGTTGATTTTTCTTAACATAAATGACTTCACTCACACCCCTCTCAAACCACCTATCTTCTTTGTCCAAAATGTGAACATTCTGGTCCTTAAAGAAGACAGGTGGATTGAGAGATCCAATTCCGGTTCATATTACATGTTTTCAAACAAGGCTTTGTTTTGGTCCACGCTATAAAGCCTCAAACTAAACGTCATTTCTGACATTTTGAATTGAAAAAGCTTCCTGATTGGAACAGAAATGTCTTTAAACTTAGAATCAAAGTCCAGTGGATTGTTTTTTTTGGTAGCTTTTTTGGAAGCTGTACTTGAAGAGTTCTAGATAGAGCATATTGCCAGATGAAAACATTTTTTTAATCTTAAAGGAAAGCTGTTTATTAATTTTACAATTTTGATATAACTGCTGCTCTAATTTGGTCGCGTTGTCAGCTAAAGACATGTCTTAGAGTCTTACTCCAGGTAACGATTTATCATTTACTAAATTAGTCGACAGCGATTTCACTAATTGATTAATCACGATTAATTTAATTAATTGTTTCAGCCCTAGTAGGAAACTTTTAAGAGAAGATGCAATAAAAAGAGACGTCTGTTGATTCAGTAACACCGAGACCAGAGGAGACTGAGGATACAATGAACCCATCTATCCCAGAGGAAACGAGACCTCTCAGATTATGAGAGTGCTAATCCCAGACCGAGCTCTAATCCAGTATGACAGCATGTAGGCCAGCTGCTGGACTTCAAATTTCCTCATGACGGAAATCATTTACTTTAAAGCAGCATAAAGATTAAGATTCCACTGCTGAGCAGCAGCAGATTCCTGATGGTCGTTTTGAAGAACGTCGTAGAAGCAGAAGCCTGTTATGCTGGATACTGGCAGTGAAAGAACAGCCTGAAACATGAAGGACTTCAGGAGCAGCACAAATCTGGTTTGAAGTGGGAAATACCTTCAAACATTTCATTACCGAGGAGGACACAGCTGTAAACTCAATGCTATATATCCTTCTATAACTTATTGATAATCCCAAATTGATTATCAATGATTTCCATACAACTTTAAAATAGCAGTATGGGATCAACAGAAGGTTGTTTTGGGAAATCCCTGATAGAACAAAACTCAGCGGAAGGAAAAGTGTCTCAAGATTAGATTTCAGCCCAAAAGACAAAAACAACAGGAAACTAGAAACCGGGGTTTTTACCAAAACAGAACTAGTTATGCAACTAGAAAAGCAAAGTAACTTTAAAAACCTCTACTTTAAGCAGTATGCTGAATAACAATATAAGAACAGTTTAAATCCAGATTAATATAAATATCCATGCCAAATGATGCAATGTGATCAGGAGCTTCCCTTCTTCACTTCCGGCATCTGGAGGCTGATGAACTTACCAGCCTTTTGCTGTAGCGTGGCTTTGAATCATCCATATTCACTGGGAACCCTGGGACTTTCTCTACAGATAAGGAGCCAGAGCTGTGGGGCCACAGCAGCCCTCTATCCTGCGCCGTGGGGCCACAGCAGCCCTCTATCCTGCGCCGTGGGGCCACATGGCTCTTTGATAGTAAACAGAAAGGCGGGGACCGGTGGACCGTTGCTTTGCTCTGATTTAAAGGGAATTAACGAGGCGGAGAAACAAAACAGAGAAGTGCTAATAGTTGAAAAGCTGTTACGACTCGTCCCAAAAAAGCGTCTAAATTACTGACCAGAATTTAAAAGAAATTATTTTAGTTTGACTAATTTCTTTAAATTCAGGACCAACCGGAGCTTTGTTCTTAGCAGAATCCCGTTAGGTCTCCAGAGTTTAAGGAACTTCAGACCGGAACCCCGCCGTGTCCTCGGGGTGCATATATCCGCATAAAAACAAGTTTAACCTCATTAAAAGCCAAAAACGTTAGCCCTGTGTGGAACTCCACAGCGCGTAAAGATGCGAGCGTCTCCAAAAGCCGCCATTTTCCGTTCCATCGCATAACAATCCTAGATCCCACCCACCAACTCATTCTGGACCAATCACGCATCAGCTAACGAGAATCTTATTGGCTGATAGTGGCAACGCTCGCCATGAGACAAGCGTGACCGGTGATTGGACGAGTAGAACAACACTGGTGCTCAGAGCTCGCATCTCATTGGCTATCATTTCCACTGTCATTATTGGCTGGATGAACAAGCTATCAATCGGAAGGCTAGCCAACCAGGTGACGATGCGACACATCGTCAACACCGCCTTAATCACCAAGTAAAAATTAGCCATCAGTCATATTAGATACTTGGGAATCCATGGATTGTAGAGGCGCTTACCCCCATGGTGAGAGAGAGCGGCCCCTCCCTTCAGAACGGGAGCAGCGATGCGGCAGGCGGAGAAGCCTCTGAGCTGCTGCTGCTGCTGCTGCTGCTGCTGCTGCCAGGGTTCACATCCAAGTCATGCTTCAGCCCAACAAGGAAGTGGGTGGTTCTGATAGAAACGCAACGTCATCATTCTATCAGAACCGTTGATTGGCTGGCTTGTGTTGCAGGATTGCTGTGATTGGTTGGAGAGGCTTGTCTTTCAAATAGGTAGATCTGACCTACGGCAAGCCGGAGACAGCGCTATCCTGCTTTTGTCTAAAGACTGAAATACATAAATGTCTGTTTAAGCTGAAAATATTTAGCCAAATACCCAAATGTCATTAAAGAGCCAGACGGGATCAGTAATATTAGTCCAATATGTTGAAAAGGAGGCAACGCCAAAGATAATTTTTTATTGAGATGGACTGACAAACAAAAATGTTTCTTCTTTTGTAATCTAAAAAAGAAAGGGACAAATTTATACAAGAGAAAAATTTCTACTTTATTTAAACCTCCTTAACTGATTAAAGCTTAACAAGGACACAAAAACACAGTTTCTTTGTAGGAAAAGCTAACACTGCTTCAATCACAACAGAAGAACTGAGCTAATGTTAAATAGGCTTTAGCTGTTTCATGTCCAACCTGTTTCACTAATGTTTGTTTTCAAATCAGATTATTTCATGTTTTTTGTTTTTTAATTAACTAGACTGACCCAGAGAACGGGCTTGCACCCTGACCAGATTACCCGTCCATTAAGGCTTATTTTCACACTTAAAAGAAGCTCAGCAGGAGCAGCAGGAGGTTCATATCCAAACATGAACCAGTCGATCATCACTGCTGAAGGGGGCTGCCATAAAAGCTCTGAACAGAGGTGCATTAAGCACAATAATATATGCTTAAAATGATTTCATTTTCACAGCTTTATCATAAAAACACAATAAAACAAAGACCCACAACAAGTAGAAATCAAGCCTCAAGGCAATGATGCAGTCGTCTAGAAAAAAACCCATAAGTTATATTGTTAAACATATATATAATAAACTTATTCAAATCTATTTTAATTTCATACCAATAATTCTAACTCACTAAGAGGTTACATTAGAGAACTTAAACCTGCTGGCTTTAAGGAGTTGATATCTGTGTTATAGGAATCATTTCATGAACTCTGGCCAATAGCATAATGCTAGGAACAGTTTGCTTCCAGATCCCAGCTCACAAACTGGACTAAAGAGAAATAAACAGCGGCCTCCATACTTATGATGAACTCCATGTTGTGAATCGCAGTAAAGTGACACTGAGAGCTTTGTGGGGTCGCATCAGCCAAAGGGCTGGAGTGGGAAATTTAGGGCCTTTTAATTATTAAATACAGTACGATAAAAAAAATTGTGCCTCTTAAATTGTAACTAATTGCAAATGCAATCAGTTGCCCTAATCTGGAGTATTGTTAAAGGAGGAATGCTGTGACTTGGAAATGGTTTAGTTTAACAGTTTTATGGTTAGATCCAGTTTATTTTAAGATTTGCAAGAGTTGATAAATAATGTTATGAATAAATCCGTCCATTTAACTTTCAAAGATCTTTTTTTTTTTTTGGAAGAAGGATTTTCTTAGATATAACAGTGGATGTTTTACTGTGGTGAGACAACCCCTGGTTAGGAAGGTTGACATAAGCTTATAAAGACAATTAAATATAAATGATTGATCAAAAATAAGTAATGCTTTATACCCGTGTATTTCCCTTTCTTTCTTTAAATTGAGCGACACTGAGCAGAGTCCTTTAACAGCGTTCCCCTGTTTCCTGCTGAAGTGGGCCTCAGTGGCCTCAGACAGAGATCTCTATTTGAAGAAGCTGTAGACAAAGGAGCCGAGGATGAGGGCCAGAATCACGCAGCAGCAGAAGATCATCATTTGTTTCTGGAGAAAAGAGGGAATCAGTTTGGTTAACAAGACAGCTGGAGTAAAACAGATACAGCCTGAGTTAAAACCAGAGAAGAAGAAAGCTGTTTCCTTTGATTGACATTTCCTTCACTTGCTCCTAAATCTGAACCCTACTTCTGTCTGCTTGACTTTTCATTTCTTTTCCTTTTGACATCTGGTAACCAATCTGGTTTATCTGGATCTTTAATGTTTAAACTTTGCTCTGATGTCAGACCAGCTGACCTGAGCAGTATGGAGTGAAGACTTCAAAACCCTAAAAATATACTATAAGATAAATACTATGAAAATGATAGATATATTGCAAAAAAGTAAAAAAAAAAAATAAATCTTTCATATTTTTAAAAAAAATCTTTTGATTTTCTCAATGAGCTTCATCTGGTGAACACCTGAGACGATCCCTAGATATAGTTATAATGATAATAATCCTCTAAACAACCCTGCCTGAGGGGGGAGTGCAAACTTTTGGCTGCCTGTTTATTTATTTTGAATAAATCTCCAGTGAATCTTGTTCCAGTTGTTGCTACAGAGACCATGTTTATTAAATGATATTTTAAAATCTATTTAATCCAAAAATGAACCTTGAAAAACTTCAAATTTTGTTTCAAAATGTGTCTTTTTTAGACTGAGTTTCAAAGATTGTGTTCTTTTCAAATTTTATTTTTTTAATGATTCACTCCCATAAAGATTGTTTTTGTCTATATCATTGTTGACCAATAGAAATGCATCGTTGCTCCTCCCTCCAGAGGAAACTCCCCTTCCAGACATGAAGGGTGCAATTATTCATAATACCCAACCGCAAAACAGTAATTTGAAAAAATTCTAAATTTTGAAAACTGCAAAGTTAAATTAAAAAAAATTTTTTTAAGCTGAAATAAAAAGTCTTTTAAATTCTCATCTCTGGATTTCTTTTTTTATTTTCATTTATTAAACTTCCTCTTTCCAACAATAATGTAACAACATTCTCTCCATATAAATCTCTGTTTGTGCTTTAATCCACCAGCCTGTCCCACAGTCTAGCTGTGTCATCTAAGGTCTCCCTATGGTTGGCTTTAATAGTGAGCATTAAGGCTGCAGCTAACAATTATTTTGCAAATCGATTAATGTTTTTTCTGATTAATCAATTAATAATTGGGTAGCCAGGTGAAACTAAAACGTTTCCACGTGAGAAGTTCTGCATAGAGCATATTGACGGACAAAAACCTTTTCTTTTTTTTTTATGCAAAATGTTTACATATTTTTTTATACAATGTTGGTATAACTGCTGCTATAATGCTACGTTCAGAGTAGAAGCAGCAGAAGCGGCAAAAACACACCTGCTGCTTCATTTTTGATGCTTGTACAAGTTTACTTCTGACGTGCAGCTGAAGCATCTTTGCTACTCTCGGCGCAAAGTTCAATTATACAACTACAGCAGCTGCTGCTTCTGAAGCGCCTCAGATGCTCAGAAGCTCATGAGGTGCTTCTCCTACTGCTCAAAAGGTTCAGGATGTCTAGATAATGGATGCAGATTAAGGTAATGTTTCTGCTGAGACAGCTGGAAAGTTAAAATGCGAGTTTAAAAGTTTGGAAATGTTTGTTTTAGGATGGAGCGGGCTCAGTGTCACTAGACACTAAGGACGGTAGGGAACATTGATCTGTAGGAAAAAAAGAAAAGGATAATCAGGAAGTCGGTAATATAAATCAGTAAAAGAGAAAAACATTCCTGCTTTATTTCTGATCTGACAGTTATGTTGGTTTTCAGGATGTGTGGCAGCAGAGAGGCCAGCGGTTCACAGACTGAGTGGAGCAACACAAAGGCTGAAGTGTTCATCCCATAATGATCTCAGTCCAGCTCCTAAGCCTCTCCCTGCAGCCCGCCGCCATCAGTCATTCTGAACAGTTTCCTGCTAACAGTGAATAATAATGGGCATGAACTCACCCTGCGCGCCTCCTGTTGGAACTTGGCAGCCTTCTTGGTGTCAGCCACTGCCCTCTCCACGAACCCCACAGACTGGTCCATGTTGCTCTCTATTCTGTCAATCATTCCTCCCTGGAGGTTTAAAAACAGAGAGCACAGTGAGACTCAGTAGCTGATATCAGCATCAAACTGAAATGTGCATAAATCTGACAATATGTCAGAGTAAGTTTCTCAAATTGCATGAAATTATAAACATTTCTCTATCTTATTGAAAAGTCATGTGTTAGGAAAGAACCTTCCACCCTCTGCACCAGACTTTAGAGGAGCTGAGCAGCTCCTTTAGTCAAAGACTTTTACACCCTGGAAATGAGCGCCACCGCAGGTCATTCATCCCTGATGCCACCAGACTCTACTATGCCACACTACAATGGCACTAACTTGTGCAATGCATAATGTGCAATTTACCATTTGATACCTGGTACAGTAACTATATACATATATATATACAATGAGAAGAAATATGGTTTAGTGAGATGCTGCAGCTTTCATCTGTAGTTACTCTGAATTTAAATGTTCGATGGCCATTTTAGGTTCATTGGTTCAGAAAAAGAAGTTGAGCAGAGTTGAGCTGTATGGCTGGAATATCTCTGTGTAGTATTTAAATCTGTAACTACTGCAGGCTAATACTGAGTCAGTGCGACCTGTTGATGAGAGATTTGAGAGCAACTTTTGATGGTTTTGATGTTTACCTGGTTCTCCACCAGCATGGCGATATCAACAAACATGTCATGGAGCTCTTTAATGCTGCTCTCCAACCTCATGATGTCTTTATGACGAGCCTCGATCTCATTCAGGGCCTGCTGGTTGATCTTTGACTCTGTAATCTGAGGAAGGAGAAAGAGACTAAATGTTAGACTGCTATAAAAACAGGCAGACAACTAGGACAGTCTTTTGGCTTTTGGGAGAAGCAAACACAGTCAGTCTCTAACTGTTGAAAATGAAAGTAATTGAATATTCTGATATGGTCTGTTGGTCTTTCCTGTCATAGACAAGTTGTGTTGGTTGAGATGAAACAATAGGAATCCAGCAGACTGTGATTGAAGCTGATAAATTTGTTGGCGTCCCTGGTGGAGATGTTGAGGATCTTCTTTTGTATCACCATTGTGCTTCATCTCCAAATAGTGATCGCACCTGAGCCGAAGGCCTTTTACATTGTAAATACCTTTGGGACAAAAAGAATCTTTGTTTTACATCGTACCTATGCCCCCTTCTTAAGCCCCTGTCACACCTTGATGATTTAGACGAGTATACGTGAATTAGAAAACATATGAAAAATCAGGCAAAAACGCTGGCATATTTTGGATAAGTTATGGGTATGTTTGGTATAAGTTATGAGCACGACATACAGCAAGTATGTATGCTCTAAATTTCCCGACTTAAGGCAGCGTCTGCAATATGTGGGCCATAAATTCCAGCTCAGTTTTGAACCAGAAGGTGAGTCTGATGGATTCTCCCTGCGTTTCATGCTCACCACTAACAAACTTCCAAGCAGACATGACGCTCAATCTGCTGACACCAAAAACCTACTTTCTTTCTTTTTCTTTATTCTAATTTTTTGGGGTGAGCAGTAAATACTGCGATCAAAGACATCTTTTTATGCAGAGCAGGCGCCTCCTGAGGGGAGAAGCTTTAACTGATGCTTTGTGATGCCCATGAAATGATGATTGTGCATCATTTCATAGGCATCACGCTGCTGTGGATTATGCATACGTTAGGCTGTCGTTGGACATAAGTTCTGGACTCGTTATGAATACTCTATGTATATGCAAAAATTTGAAGTAATACATAGAAATCTCAGCGCATGTCAGCCTTTTAGGAGATTCTGAGACCTTGGGCATACACTGGTTAAATCAGCAATGTCTGATAGGGCCCTAACCACAATGACCTCAAGCATTTCTTGTAGTATAGCTCAAAACCTCCCTTTAAAAATGTGCTAAATAAAAACACACAAACAACGCACAGTCAGCTTTTGATATGATTAATTCAGTTTTTGTAGCCTTCTAGCCTTTTGCATGTTCTGATGATCAGTATATAAATATATTTGTTTATTTAGGAAGCCAGACATGCTGAATGTATTATGTTGTTCATTCTAGCTTTTTGCTACACCTAGTTAGAGGATCAGCTTTGCCAGCAACTCTGCCCTTGTCTTTAAACACAAATTTATCAAATAAATCTGATAGGCAACAGGGGTCACAACAGTAAACCCAGTATAGTTAATGATATTCTGTGAACTAAAATGGAATCTCTTGCAGAACAACCTGGCTCTGTGAAGCATCAGTATAGAAGCTTTAATTGGCTTAACCTTAGAGGAAATAATTTATTATTGATGTTGCACATATGCTCTGTACAAAATCATAATTGATGAGTACATTTATACTGGAGTGTTTGGCTGTACAGCAGGATTTTACAGCTTTCAAGAACTCAGCTTGTGTTGTGGGAATGTTAGTGTCTTCAGCAGAACATGGTAAAAAAATCCATTGTTAGTTAGAACTAACTCAACATAGCCATTTTAGTGGGATCTTTTCAGTGAAATGGCTCATTTGACCTCCTGAGTTTTACACTGGACCTATAGGACATACAGGTCTTACCCCAGCAGTGAAGACAGCAGAATTGCCCCCCTCCAGCATCTCCTCTAACTCCTCATCTGTAGTTTTCTTCCCCGCTACAAATAAAATGGAAAACAGTTTTGTATTAAAAAGTCTTTGTAGGGTCAAAGGTCATCCTGGGCTACGTCAGTAGGGGTGCTGCTATGGGCTTAAGCTGCCAGAGGAGAAACCGATTATTTTCCTTTAATTACCTTTTTGTTTTTTCATCAGAGCTAAACCCTAAATCCTTAAATGTCTTAGATTTATATTTTCAGTTCTTTTTCCCTCTTTGCAGACACCTACATTCTGGAAAATAATCAGTACTAGGTTTAGTACTACGTAGTTAAATCTGATCTTAAATTCCTTTATAAATCAAGTGAATTTGGTAGCCCTGTTTCATTATTTAATTGGATTTCAATCTGATCAAACACTACTAAAATCCTCGAGGAACTTTATTTCAGTCCATAAATATAACAGAAAACATAGACTAGAACAAACGCTTTGTTATAACTAAGGACGCAATAATTGATTGATAGAAAAGCATAGAGATTGGAGATGGATGGTTTTGTCTTAACTGACTCTGCATCAGCAGATTATTAATTTAAACCAGATTGGGTTTTTTTCATGTTCATTAAATCACATCAAAGTGGAGAACTGTCACATTTCTTAAATCTCCAATGCATCAAAGCGCTGTCGCCTTGCATCAATAACGTCCTTGGTTAGAATCTGAATAAAAAACATTTTTTTGCATTGAGTTGGTTTCTTCTCTGTACATATGAAAAGGTTTTCCTTGATACTCTGGTTTCCTTCCAAAAACATGACTGTAAGTTGGCCAATTGGTAACTTTGAAAAAGCAGAAGATTTATTTCATATTACAAACTAGGAGAATCTGTGTCAAATTAGTTATTTTTTATTTGACGTCATCCTCAGAATAAATAAACAGAATGGTTAAAACTGGAAATACCAGAGGAGAAGGTAAAGAAAATCAGAAATGTGGTGGAAAACTGCTCAGTTTACCGTAATTCTAACGGAAGCCGAGACTTTCAGTCTAAAGGTTTAGAAATATCTTTTTGTTTTTTTCAAAAAATACCCTAATATTGTAGTTTTTCAGGACTATTAAAATCTGCAATAGTTGTAGTAAGCACTAAGCACCAAAAAAAGAGATCTTTGTATATTGAAACAAAATGAATAAGTTAAAATCACAGTAAAACATATTGTTGAAAGTGCAGATGGATTTTGTAGTCATAACCAGAATGATGTGAACCTGGTTTCTGTGATCTTGTTACCTGTTTATCACGAATAAACAGCTACTTACTGATCTCGAGCTGCCGGGCAATCCTTCCTTTGCTCTTATCCCTGAAGTCAACCTGAGCCTCGTTGTACTTTGTCATGACCTCAACAAACTTTTTAGCCAGAATTGCATGCTGTGGGGAAAATGGAGATGGTGTTTAATTCTGTGACCATGTTCATGGATTTCTTTCTTCTCTGTCTGTGCAAAGTTCATCTGGGATGGAAATATTTGGACTTAATTTATGTTTCCTATGTTTTCCCATGATTAAGATCCAAGGTCAAATTGCTTTCTACACATTATTTAAAAACAACACCTATAGAACTGCTGTACCTGCTATAAAAGGAAATGCACAACAGTAAATGTAGAAGCACAGATATAAGTAAGACATGCATTTGAATAGTCAATTAAAATCAAAAAGGGTAACTCTAAAAAGAATAACTTTGATTATCTTGGAGAACTGATGTTTAAAAGTCAACACAAAAAACAGAGATATGTTATTTTACACTTTAGAGGCAGTGAGCAGAAAAGCTCTTTGACCGTTTGCTTTAAATTTAAAAGCTCCACTTTGACTGTAGCAGCCGATAAGGTTATCAAACCGGTGAATATTGCTGAATAGTGTAATAATTCTGAACATTTTTATTGATATGAAGCCAATAAGATTATAACTTGCTGAAACTGTAATGCTTTTTTTAACCAACAACAAAATATTATTCAGTATATTTACATCAGTAGTTACGGTACTAATTTACTGACTGGCCATTAGTTTCATTGAGTTATAATAAAAAAATTACCAATAAGTTAATGGATTATGTAAATGCATATGCAGAAAAATCATCTCTTAGAAATTAAATATTTAATTTTTTAATTGCTTTTGCACTTCAAACATATGTATAGTGGACAATGTGGTCCTCATATTCCTTCACCAAGGCTACAAATTAAATAATAGCAGCTTAAGAGTCTTTAGTAAAATATTTGAATTAAATATAATTATGGATGAACTTAATACATTTATCTGAAATGCATTTGGTAGATAAATCCATGTGTTGATAATCCAGAAATGCTTCTGTGACCTATGCAGACACTGTTAGATAGTTAGTATCACACTTATCCCGTTTTCAATACATTTGATTTTCTTATTAAAACCATATAACACAATAAACATTGGTCAAATGTTTTTGCTCCTCTGGCTAAATCCTTTTTAGAATTGTCAGCAAGCTATCAAATCATTTATATTTTTTTGCTATTTCAAGGCCTGAAGTTTTAAATTGTAGGAACGACGACACAGGAGCTACATTTGATCCAGTCTTTTACTCAGAATCAACAAGTATAATAGTTCAACAATCGGAATAAACAGCTCAGACATACCATGTTTTTCATATTTTTTTCAATCAAAAAATCTGGTCATCTGGGTGTAAGTGAAGCCCCCTTGTGGTTTGCGACAACATCATTGGCAGAAAAAAATGTTATTGGCCATAATTTCATTAAAAGTTGCTGCAAGCATCCTAAAATCATATAAGGTCAGAGTATAGAGGCCATTTCAATCAACACAAAAACAAGTGATTAACTAATAACTAAAATGATACAGTTAGGAAAGCTCGAATTAACAATATAGTTTATCTCTTTGTCCGCTTTAAGAGATTATCAATAATTGCTCCTGAATATTTTAGATAACTGCAGCAGCTGATCTGCCTACAAATTAAGTTCTACTAAGTATTTGTTTTATATAATTAAGACTCAGAAAGTTTATTTCCATCCACAATTGAACGTTTTTGCAGGAAGTAAACATAATAACTTATCATTTCAACAGAGGGTCATCAGGAAAGCAATGAAACAGGATATTTTCATGAAAAACTTAATCTAAAGGCAACAAATACAAAGAAAACAGAAGAGAGCCAAATGCAGTACCCTGAGGGATCCCCTACAGTAACAGGAGATTTGTTTTGTTTTACCTAGAAAGTTCTTGTCAGTGGATGTGACTGGTACCAATTAACTGGGTGCATTTAATACAGTTCTTTACACACCAGGAGGATCTGATGTGTCAGAAGCAGTAGATAAATCAATCAGCACCAAGGTAGCATTCATATCCAGGGAATAATAGGGAGGAAGGGTCAACAGAATCAAACATATCCTTCTCCTGCATGTGTAAGCTATGAACAGCATCGTCTGACCTGAGATTTGCGTATCCTGAGGTCTGCTGAGGCCCTTTCATCTGTGTTCGTCTCAAGCTGCCGCTCAATACCTGAAACAAACACAAGGAAGAGGAAAACATTAGAGATTTAATACAAAAACATGTACCAGAGTGTATCGACTTTAAAACAATTCTATGTAGCGATAAATGTAAAAGATTAGTCTGGTAGGAAAGGAAGAACAGATACTGACTCTTCAGCTTGTTTCTTGCATTGTTGGCTGACTTTTTAATCTCATTGGTGAGAGTTTCAACATCATCCTGGGTTTCTGAGTTCAAAAGGTAAAAGACACTGGTTATAAATAACCCAGTTAAAGACGGACAGTAGGTGCCCAGGAGAGGGCCAGAAACAATTACTTTGGTCGGATGTGGGGGCCGACAGGATGGTGGAGTACAGTTTCTTTATTTCTGTCACGCTCTCATCAATCTTGTCAATGCAGGTACGAATATCTTCAATCTGAAAACAAATACAAACTCAAACCTCGGCGAGGTCATCATGAAAAACACACAGCTGTCCTAATGACTGGGGAAGGACAGGGACAGGAGGAGAGTACTTGAGCAAAGAAGTCGTCCATGAAAGCCTCACTCTCCACAGGAACCTGGATGTCATCTCCACCAGGATCGCTCTTCTGTTAGAAAGATGGAGAACAAGTTGGACAGCAGTTAAATCTCCTCTATGGAAGTAAATTAAAATTGATTCTGCCCATCCTGGAATACATTCTGTAAAAGTTTAAAAACAATCCACTGGTTTGAAGACGTTTCGCTTCCCCTCCAGGAAGCTTTCTCAATTCAAATGTCTGAGAAAGCTTCCTGGAGGGGAAGCGAAACTTCTTCAAACCTTGGAAACCAAGTCCAGTGGATCGTTTTTAAACTTTTACGGAATAACTATGACCTGAAAGACTGAGAATCTTCATCAGCATCCTAGAATACAGTTAGGAGCTTTATTCTCCCACCAAGGGAACCTCACCGCTGATTTCTAAATAAACCGCTTAAAGATGTAGAAGATAAGGTTAGATGGAGGCAGACAGCTCTTTGTAGTGAGCAGGAGAAGATTTAATTAAACAACATACAAATTAGTGAGTCTTTTAAAACTGAGAACTTGTGAGAGTTTAATTTTCTCTGACCCACACAGGGTTTAAAATATTCACACCGACCCAGATATTTCCATACAGTCAACTTCCTTCTTTAATAGTAAATGTTGCACACACAAAAAAATCCTAACCTTGACAAACTGCCAATTGCAAGCATGTTTGTGCCGTAGTTAATTATCCTAATCAGATCAAAGCCTGTTATTCTGACAGGACCCAGTGGATTTGATCGATACTATAAACCAGGCATCTGCAACCTTTAAAATCCAAAGAGCCGTTTCCTCAGAATCCTGTTTTAAAGTAATGTTTCAAACTGACCTTTTATCAATTTAGTTTTTATCAAATATGCTCTAAAACTCTAAATCATGTCACAGACGCTGCATCAAACTGATCATATCAATGCGTTTTTTCTCGCAATGTTTACATCTGATCACTGCTGCACTTTAAGAGATGGAAATGTCATGACAGCTGTAAAAAAATTTAATTCTGTGTAAAAATCTGCGTATACAAAATGAAAAGTCTAAGTGTAGGTCTAAGTCTAAGGAAAGTGAAGCCATTGCAATCTTAAACAACCAGCGGTTTAGTGTGTTTTCAGGTTTCCAGTCCTTCAGGGTTTCCCCCTTCCACCCTTTGGATTCATCTCATCTTAACATGGAACATTCAGAACAACATGGAGGCTTCTGATTTTCTATTGGACTGAAATTCCAGGAGCAGATGTGCGAACTGGTTGAATTTCCTTTAATAGACATTTAAATGTACATGATTATGTCTTAATGCTCTTTACTGGTTACCGTACTTCTAATTGGAGATAATTGTTTAGAAGTAACTTTGCTGATTTCTGACAAACAAGCACCAGATACAGACCAACTGTTCTATTATTTTCTATTGGCTGATCTGCTTTTTATTTTGGAGGTGATAAGAAGTCACATAAATAATCGTCACCGGCAGCACTTTGCAGTGTTTTAGTAGGTATACATTAGCCACGGTTTTAGACGCTTTATGCTGTGACAAAAAACAATTAGTGAATCTGATCTTATCTCATTTCCAAATACCAAAGCTTACGAACAAATCATTCAGTCACTCAGCATTGGAGCGGCAGTTTTACCCACTGCTTCTCCACTCCGGCCCCGGGGCCATGAGGGAAAACTAGGCCCCAAGATCCTGAGACCCCATAAAACCCCTCATTTAGATATGGAAACACAGTTCTTACTTATTGGCATATATTAATTCTGTTTTTGTATAAAATGTCTCTGTTGAAATGCCATCAGAAGCTTAGAGTGTTATGTGTGTCTTCAGTCCTGACTACATTAGATCAGTCCATCTTATTGCACATGTGCAGGAAGGATCCAGGAAGACAGCAGCAAAACATATTAAAAGCAAACTGCATGAAGAGGCGAGAGCAGGAGAGAAAATAAGAGGAAAGATAAAGAAAATGTAAACATGCAACCCCAATGGTTCTGAAGAGAGGAGAAAGAAGATGTAGAGCAGAAAGCTGCTCTTAGAGTTACAATGAGTTAGCAGCAGCAACATACAACCTGCAGAAAGCACAGCAATGACGTTAACACCTGTTTGGACAACCCTTTTTTTAGCAGTTGTTTTTCTGGGCTTAGATACCCAGACTTTGATGGTTCTCATGTCAGTGCAAATGGATCTCCACATTGCAAGGCTGAAGTTAGGAAGCTGAGGCGGAAGCATTTTCTTGGAAGAAATAATGTTCAAATTTATTTAACGTCCTTTCGACAGAGGGAGATAGAGCTCTCTGTGACTGAGGCATTTCAGTACATACATTTTTACACACACACACACATCCCCCCCAGGGGAACAAACTCACCCCCTGCATAAAGAACTTCCTCACACTTGAACATTTGGTTATTCCCAAGAAAAAAAATACTTCAATTCATCAAGGACATCAATTTTAGCCAAATTAACATTCAGAACAGGTCTCCTGTTCACGTTATGAAGGCTGTGTGAACACACACACACATTAAACATCAGCTGCAAGGTGGTATTCAGACAGCCAAAAAACATTTTATCTCACAAAACAGGCGAAGGAAAAACATGATTCCACACAAGATTTGCTGAGACCAAGACTCACAAAAACAGGTTTTCAGGACAAAAGGGACAAAAGAGAACATGGAGAGGAAGATAAGAGAAAAGATGACAGGAAGAGAGAAAGAAGAAGTAGAATATGAGGACAAAGAAAAAAGGAGGAGAAAAGCACAAGAAAAAGAGGGAGAGAAAACAGGGAGAGATAAAATGTAAAGCATGGGACAGGAAGAGAGGGACAGAGGGAGAAAAATAATAATTATGTGTATTCAAATGTCTGTTTCTGGCCCCATGCCTGACATTGGCCCCCTTTTCTTATTGTAAATCCACTATTGTTCCTACCTGAGTGATTTGTGTGGATCTCTGGCTTTTACTGCTAAATATATGTGAAACAATCTCCATCTTACTGGGTTGGGGTTTCTGGTTTCTCTCCCCATTTGTTCAGCAGCTGTGTTGATTTGCCAATTTACACAAGGCCTGGAAATGAAGCGTTCTGCTACTGTGACTGTAGCTCTGTTTCTTTATGGTCTCATTGTTTCACAGCAGGAGAAATAGTGCATACCTGATCCCATCACTCCCAGTATATGTCCAGTTAATCTCATTTCAGAGACGCCAACTATAAGTTAGACTGAATTCAGCTCATCAAGAACACAGGAACCCAAACTTTAGCAACAAAATATACAATCAATGTAAAAGGCTTAAAAAAACCTATTAGGATAAATATGAATAGTAAATATACAAACTATCAGAAATTATGAAAAAAAAGCATAAAACATCAGTAATGCAAAAGTTTGGTTAATGTTTGTCATTCTAAAGTGATGGCAGAAACCAGTTCAGGCCTTCAGAGTCCAAAAGTGTCTCATTGAGCATTTAAATCTTCATGAGAATAACTAACAGTGCAACCGTACCTCCTTCAGCTGGGCCAGGCGGTCCTTCATGTTGCCAGGAACTGATTCAGCAGACAAACAGCAAAATGTTGATTAAAATAAAATAAAACCAGCTCTGATTTTTTAATATTTCCTCTGACCGAGTCCCTTAAAGCTTTGATACAGCTGATGCTGACCCAAACAGGAATGTAAGAAGTGAGTTATTATTCCACAGATTGTCCAGATTGCTTCCCTCTGAGACAACCTGTGGTCCTTCTACGCTGAGGAGCAACTAAGCCTCTATCCTCTAAGAACGGATTAAGACAACCATTTTCAGGAGGATAAATCTCTCTCCCCCACCCCCACAAGCCCCTCCCACATCGACAGAAAACACAGGCTGAAGGTAGCACAACCAGCCTATTAAAGGCTAATTACAACTGACCACTGGGCCATTTAATACTATACTAGATGTTTTCAACATTTCTTATACAATTTAAATCAAAATTTTGCACATAAATAACAACAAAATAATGAAGAATTTAAAGGATGTAATTCTGCAGTATTTCTGCAGAACATTTTTTTTTATATTTCCATTAAATGTACAACGTACAGTAATATTTTAACCTGCCATATAGTTATTGCTTTAACATTACAATATAGCCGGTATTAGTAAAACATTATATTTACTTCAGTAACCATTTCAGTTCAGTTTAATTCAGTTTTTAATATTGCAGCAATTCACAGCACATCATCTCAATGCACTTTATAGAGATATTTGAACCAGATCATCCAGTTAGACTGATGAAAAGTTTTGAATCTAATAAAAAAAAACAATTGATTGCATCGACTCATTGACCCGAAGGCAATCCCTCACACTAAGCATGCTTGTAGTGACAGTGGAGAGGAAAAACTCCCTTTAACAGGAAGAAACCTCCAGCAGAACCAGGCTCAGTGTGAGCGGCCATCTGCTGAGGCCGACTGGGGTTCAAGGAGACAGAAGCAGACATAGAAAAAGAAGCATAGATACAAAAAAGCAACTGTCAACCAGTTCCACAGGTGTCCCCGTCCAGGTAACACACAGCCAGGCAGACAATCTTAATGTCAAACATCTATAAACAAAGGTGCTGATGGCAGCAGCACATCTGATATTTCTTTTAATAAAAATAAAAAAAAGCTTTTCAGTAGTAGTTTCAGTGCAGCAGACCATTCATATGTTTATGTTGTTGTAAGGTTGGAGGTTAAAGAAAAAAAATCCTTTGGACACAACAAAAATGGCCAGGGCAGCAAAAAAAGGATACTCACCAAGTAGAGACTGGACTTACACCCCAATTATGTGATGAACCTATAACATTTTAACTCCTCCACCTTAGACAGAAGTCCACAGTCCTGTTCCTGTACAAGAGCTAATTTACCCCTAGTAAAAAGCCCCCCTACTCTGTACTTTTGAAGCACTCCCACTGAGCACCTTGAGGGCCTGTGTTGTACGGTGGGCCAGAAAGGTCACCCTAATATAAAAGCCACAAAACAACAACAGCCACGACACAACACAGCAACACCCACAACACAACATAATAACAGCCACAGTGAAACAAAATATCAGCCACAACACAACAACAGCATAAATCAGTTGTGGCTGATTTATGGAGAAAGGAGACAGACGTTATCTTATAACAGATCAGTTCAGTGGAAATCTACCATTTTTCTTCTGTCCTGCATAACTGAGGAAATACCCAAGAATAAAAACAAATATTGTAGATTTTCAAAAATGATATTATAGATCATTCTACAACAAGTAATCAAAGACAGTTTGAGTCTGTGATCCCTCAGGTTACCCTGTAAAATACAATAAATCAGTAACCTGCAATTGTATGCATAAAATAAATAAATACAATTGCAGGGTTTTCTCAATAAATTGGAATTATAACTGAAAAGTTATGTTATTTCAGTAACTAATTTTTATTTCTATATTATACAGTATTTGCTTCTTTCTGTATCTCTGCTTCTGTCTCCTTGAACCCCAGTCGGCCTCAGCAGATGGCCGCTCACACTGAGCCTGGTTCTGCTGGAGTTTTTTTCCTGTTCAAAGGGAGTTTTTCCTCTCCACTGTCGCTACAAGCATGCTTAGTGTGAGGGATTGCTGAAGAGTCAGTGACAAAATCCAGGTGAAGTCATCCATGTTTTGCAAATCAGTAACTTGTTGCAATCAACTGGCTTTCCTTGATAGAAACTTTTCATCAATATGTCTCTGCAAAGTGCCTTGAGATAACTTGTGTTGTGAATTGCAGCTATAGAAAAGCATATTGAAAGTAACAAATTACAAGAAATCTGCATAAATGCTGAATATGAGCCTGTTTGAAAGAGATGTGTGCGTCTAACATCTGCTTATTGCAGGACCCCTTGTCAGTTGAATTGAGCATATCTGGAAAAACATAAACCATAAAGGTATATTATTGTTTAAACCTTTCTTGAGATAAGCTTTATAATAACTGCTCAAAATGTCAGCACGGGTACCATGCACTTACCATTGGTCCCTTGTCAGTTTGCTTACTCAATAATAAACACACAAAAACTATCAAAAATCTTTAAAAACCAAATTGTTTAGCTTTTTATGATTTCAATCCATGCCACATCCTGTAACCTCTGTAATTTCTATTGGAAAAGGCTGACTTATCTCTAGTGTTCAGTAGCTTAACATGTCAGGCCTGCGACAGGGAAGCTAATATTCTTTCCTCTTAGATGCTCCATGCCTCTCTCAGATCTTAAAATTTCCTGTGAATTCAAAGACAAATGTTGCAGAACGCTCTGATTTTACAAGAATCAGTTCTAAGAGGTCCACCTAGTCTTTAATTGCTCTGCAGATTCTAGTCCATGATCATGTGTGGCCTTCCATTCACTGCATCACTCCATTGTGAACCTCTCCAGAGAGAACGATTTTTGGAAAGAAGGATGAAGCATGTAGCCGCTGCTTTTTCCGCATCAAGGTGTGGTCAGGATCACATCTTCCAGTGGGAAAGCCTCGTAAAGTCTGGAGCAGATGGGGATTTTTGCAGTAGACCAAAACTGCATTTTCTTCCACCAATGTTCAAAGTTAATATTGGGGGGTGGACTGTGCCGGACACCCGTTATATTCAATGGGCCCAGCAACCTGGGACAGCAATTAAATATTGTTATTTTATGTACTTTTCTATTCCCAGCCAGCTGGGAGTTTATATTTCTGATACCTTACGATGGTTAAATGCCTTCCCCGGTAGGGGTGGTGAAATAACTTATTTAATCAGATGTTATTTTGGCTGTTATATATTTTTTATGAACACACAGTCCTACTAGCTGTGTGTTAGAACAATAAATGAAAGAGTGATTCGAGCACTAATCATGGTCAAACAGTTATTTCTGCACATACATGGAATAAATTCACCACAACTTGTGTTCAAAATATAAAAGTTTATTAACAAAAATCATTCAGCTCCACATCAAACATATTTCAGTTTAACACTCTCAACTAAGACTAGTGAAACTAAACTAAACTAAACTACTATGTACAAAGAGGAAGGGAACATGGTTGAAAATCATATTACAGTTTAAGATTGATGTTGTGTTTGAAAAAAAGTTTATCTGGGATATGATTAAATTAGGTTTTCACTAATTTAGAGAAATTGGAATGTTTTCAGACCAATTCACAATGCAAATCCATGAGGTGAATAAAACAT